GAACCGAACCGAAACCGAACGGCAACGCGCACCACCTTCGCGAACGGGAGTCGGCCACTGACTGAACGTGACTCCGATTCTCTGGAACCGGGAGGAGGCTGCGTCGACCGGTCAGGGACCACGAGCCTGCGGCCTTCTGACACTCAAGTCACCGTCAATTTCTCCCTCTTCCATTTCCCCTCTCTGTCCCATCTCCCTATCCTTCTCTTTCACCGACCGTTCCATCTCTTTTCGATTTTCGTTTTACATTCACAGACCCCATGCAATTGGTACTCGATTGTACAAACAAAATTCTTACAAAAATAATACTGAAACGATGATACAAATAGTCTCTATAATCCAGGGAAGACTTATGAAAGCACTCGGATTCCTGTCAACATTATCCAGCAAATAGTAATATTCAAATCAATCACGAGATCAATGTACTATTCTGTTAACTAATACAAATCCTCGTTGCACAGAAACTCCTACTATTTCAGAGTTCGCTAATGAATCATAACGTATGCACCCAATTAGAACAGCATCCCGTTTTGTCGACAATAGCAAGGATAAACTGTGCATCGATAATTATAACCCCAATTGATACATATTATTTAATTATGAATCATTCATCGTATTGACGTATTTTAGGACGCATTCACCTCACCAGAAATTGTGTACAGCTATTGCTGCGTATCAGTAACGTGAAGGTCGCGACAATAATACGCGAAAAAAACATGGTTTCAAGAAATACGCGCGTAACACATTCGTATAGTATAAAAACTGTGAAAACAGTTTGTGACCCAGTGTGGGAGAGCAATGGGTCGTGGAAATTCATTCGACCACTCATTCAGACGTCTTAATGAAAAGTGAGCCGGCGATTTACGAGCGTTCGATGCGAGCGAAGTAACCGTCGATGAATAATGGAACGCGTGCCACCGCGATGATCCCTTAATAGCAAACGACAAGATTCTCTGCCCGATCAAGAATCGTAGGCGATTCTTCGCGTTCGACGAGTAGATTGTTTCAACGAAGTCATGTTTCGACAATCGTGATAGCACGTAGCTTCTGATACTTTAAAGTTTTCAATTATTTTTATTTCTTCGGCGTTCCATTATTCTACGAGTGCAACAAGTCTCGCACGAGCAAATTAAGATTTCTAAAATCCTTAAGTCCTCAATTAATCGACGGAACGTAAATTCAGAATAGTGAATCGAATCTCGCGTTACCGTCGTTCGCGTGGAGCTCTTCATTTTCCATCACCGTGGGAAGACGAGGGGGAATTATTTGACGCGTTCGAAGCACGAACACGCTGGAGGTAAGCTCGAAAAGTTTTAACGATAAGATTTAATAGCTACGGGACCAGGCGCGACGGTAAATCGTTTTAACAACTATGACCAACGGGACCAATTGTTCCGGCACCGATCCTTTCCCAGTTTCAGCCATCGCCTCCCTTTTTCCGACCGGCTTACCACGAGTTTTCCTCTTCGGTGGAGGAAACGCGATCAAGCAGAGGAACTCGGTCTCGCAACTACTTTAAGTTCGATGCGAATCGGTGAGAATTATCGGACGCCGGGTAAAAACGAAACGAGTTTCTGATAGCAAAATTGTTCGCGGTGTCTTTTAACGAGAACGGCTGGTGAACACCGACTGATAAGAGTGAAAATCGCACTAAACAGTAGGATGATTAAAAAACCCTTTAACGTTCCAAACTGTAAATCATGAAATCATTTTACGTCGAGACTCGACGACGAATCGATCGAAATGGAAATGTGAAGATCGACCGACGCTGGATTCGACGTCGATTTTTAATAAAGATACAATGAAAATTAAGGTTTGGACTGACCGGGTGGATCGACGGAGCATCTTGGCGGCTGAGAGTCTCCGTCCAGCGAGAATCCCCGATGGAACACCTCGATCTCTTCCGTAGAAACTTTAAACTCACGTACACCCCGTCACCGGATCGAAGGAGATCGCGAAAGGACGCGCGCGTGCGACACACGGGAGAAGACTCGGAAGACTGACCGAGAGAAGCGCGGAACTCCGAGGAGCAGTCGACCCCCGCGTCGGTTCGCCGGCGGGGGGAAACGAGGGGAGCGGAATGTAACGAGGAGAGTCCGAAGGTGGCGAACAGAATGAGAATGGAAGAAGTACGAAGAAGAGAAGGAAGAAGAGAAGGAAAGGGCGAAGAAGAGAGAGAAACGGTTGGTGGGGACTCGGTGCTCATTCATGCTCGAACGCCCTCGCGAAATCTCTGTTCCTCAATTTCATTTTTCTACCAGTGACACGCTGACCATATGTTTAAGACCGCATTTGTACGATCGAAGTGAGACAACGTTCTGCCAAAGGTTCCATTATTTTACCAGCTAACAACGTCGATGCCTCGATATTATTATCTTTACCTCGATTACCCGACACGATCTGTATATTTTCTACACTGCTTACGGAATGAGGTCGTTTTTGAGCTTGCGGAAGGTAATCAAACTACCTGTCAGCAAAATGAAAAACAGCGAATTCAACACGATTAGAAGCGTAGATCATGATATACAGGCGTGAATTTCGTTTGGACGTCGCGCGAAATTCGACGAACGCGATTAGCGGGGAAACGTTAACGTCTGTTTGTTAATTAATACTCGGCGTAGTCGCGTCGATTCAATTTCGACGGGTCGAATTAACGAGACCAGAATCGACGCAGGCCTTTTATTAATCCCCGCTGTACGACTTCGTTAATTATCGTTGAAACGCATGATCGGACAGCCAAGAATGAATGCCATATCGTACAAGGATATAAGAATCGATTTTTCGACTGTTAATACCTCTCGTTCGATGTCGGAATTAATAGGGACATAAAGTTCAATTTTAATTCGAATTTCCAAAATGGCTCTCGTTACTTATCGATGTCCAATAGTAATTATCGATGCGAATCGATATTCGTAGACATCGAGTGCGCACATTTTTAATTTATAATTACGAGTTACTGAACTCCGTTCGTAATTACTAAACCTAATTGTCGTTTCTAAATTGCACGAACATTTTCATTGGCAAAACACCATTTTAGAATTGCATTCAACATTTCTAAATTGATTCATGAGGAAAGAGCCGCTTCAAAGAGGAAACGCGATACGATTAGTCAGTCACTCCATGCATTATTATCATCGTGCGTGCACTCAATAGGATTTCCTCGAAATCTTGCCGACAGCCACCACCTGTTATATTTTACGGTAAATGACGATATCCGGGATTATTAGATTCGAGGCATCGAAAATCCTCGCGGTTCGAACCCCCTGCCCCTCCCCCGATGACCCCGTTCCTCGTTGACGAATCGAAGCCTGATGACAAATCATCGTCGCACGTGCGACTAACTGATAGCAGGCGCCGGTTTCCCGTAATCCCACGGGATCCCAATGCCACCGGTGGCCGATTACCGTACGCGATATTGCGTCTAGTTAATTAGCGCCTGTCGATTGTTAGCCTGCATTTCGCTCAAAATCTCACAATTACATCGATTCCCTCTTGAAAAGACAATTTCAAATTAGCGGAATTATCTCCAAATCGAATGATGCAAGATGATTTGTTGATTTTCCGTAGTCAGAGAACAAGATTCAGCATCGTTTAAACAATTTTACTGATTAACCCCTTCGAATGTTCTTCACAAGTGGTGGGCGTTAAACATACTGTCACGCTTCGTGTACGACATTTAACAGCCGAAGAGCTGTACTACGATCTGAAATGTTTCGCCTTCAGGTTCAACGCCTTCCGAACATAAACCTCGATATCATTTTTGTTAGTCATATTTCCATCAGCGAGGCTCAAGAGAGGCTCGTCGAACGTGTGTACAAGCAGAATTTACTGTCGTGCACTAGGAGGAATTGATGCACAACGCCTAAATAAATAAGCGTCCAAAAGTGGAAGCATGGGTCGAACCCGTCGAACAATTCCGCGGGGGCATTTACTTATTTAAGTGCCAAGTATTTTGGTGAAGCGTTCACGTGAAATTCGACGCTTGTTAACTCCCGTCAAGTTCTTCTACCGTAAAACTAATTTCAAAGCAATCCACCAAACTGCTACCGTTCCCAATTTCCCTCGTTACATTTCATATTACGGTCTGGCATGGACTTGAAACGTAACAGACTTTCTGTTTTCCCTGTACAATCCGCGTTATTTTTCTACCGTAATTTCCATCTGGCTCCGACGATGTCGAACGTCTAAGCAAAGTTATATCGAATCAACGTTGGGACGAATCTACGTTCGAGATCGGTGTTAATTAATAGAAAGAGATCGTTGCTATTTCGGAAAGATACTAATTGGGTCTTATCAACCGGTTAACTCACTTCTTCCGATGAAAGGACACGTGTCCTGTTGTTCGTGAGAGATGGGCGTCAGAGGAAGCAGCTAGTGACCTCGAGGAGCAACGTTTCTATTTAGGGCAGACGATAGACGATAACCGCGTGCTCCAGGATGCAGCCTGATAGAAAGCGGCGCGTGCGATTTAATTCCATTCAGATATTATGCTCATTCATGCTCGCCGCACGATTCATTCATTTCGAACTATGCCATCGTTTTGATTGTCCAACCGTTTAACGAACTGCCAAGACACATCTTTATTTCTAACAATAAAATGTGCGTTACGAATGAAATGTTCTTTTCAGGAATCAAGAGAGAGATGGGCGTAGTTTCATTAATTTTCGTGCTGATTAGGGACGTTTTCGGCTCGTTAATGTAATTGGGTCATTCGATATCGCTTCCGAAACTGTAGCCGCGAGTGGCTACTGGAACGGACGAACAGCGTTGATTATACGCTGGAAATAAACGAAGCGAAGGAAGAAAAAAAAAAGAGAATAGCATTGTCCGACAGTGTAGCACGGTTACAAAATGATGACAGCGCGCGCGTGTAACGGTTACGTTTTCGCCAAGAGATAAAATATTCGAGAACCGGTAGCGAGAGATACGCGAACGAAACGGAAGCGTGGCTCGGGGATGCGTCGTCGTCGTCGTCGTTCGTGAACAAATAGACGAACGGAATGGCGTACAGTTACGATATCGAGGAGGTACCTCCGGACGATGTTCCCTGCGTCGAGCATGATGTACGACGAGCTAAAAAGTTTCTACAGAAACACAGTCCAGAGTCAGGTGATTGCCTGTGAGTTCGCTGGCTGTACGATCGAAAATAGCCGGTCGATCGGCGGAACGTGCCTGATTAAATAATGAGAATGATCGCAATAGTATTATTTTTAGTCGATGCCTGGGAGTTTGTAACGCGCATCGATCGAACAATAAAATCGTTATAAAAACTATTTTTGATCCAGGCGTACCTATTTTTAAAGATACACAGCTCAAGGTTCATCGCATACTGATGTATGACGAAACAATTGGTTTGTAGATACGACCACTTGACAGAAGTGTTGGCGAGGATTCTGGCTGAAAAGCCAAAGAATGCAGTGGACATTTTTGAGGCGTATAGCAGAAGGGTGAAAGAGGAAAGGTTTAAGACACAGGCCCATCATCTTCGAGACGTATACGTGCCACCAGCGCAATTCGAAGAGGCTAAAAAGATCATCAAACTCTTCAAGGTGTCGATCGACGACAGAAAATCAGAATATTCATACTTGTATACGAATCGAATCCGATGACAGGGCGTCGAGGGACTCTACGATGGAGACGAAGAGAAACTGGAGGAGGAGGAAGAGGAAGAAGGGGAAAGGAGGAAGAAAGTACCGAACATGATGGACCTGTTGTACTATTTCGAACAGACGAACGTGGGATTGCCTCGTAGAGAAATGATCTTGCTGAATTTGTCCATCAGAAGACTTTTGGCAGACAAGCCTATAGAGAATGTCAGGTATACACTATGAAACCTTCTCCCTGCTCAATTTTACGATTCGATAATAAATATCGCAGATTCTGGGGCAAAATTCTTGGGAATCCCAAAAATTATTACGTGGTCGAAGCAGAACTAGAACCGAAAGAGCTGGATGAAAGATTGGAGGTGAGGACGACCCTCGAAGTGATAATTAGATCATGAATTTCATTCACGTACCGAACAATGTGTATGCATACTAAACGATTACGCATTACTAAACGAAATCCCTGCGGTTTAACGATCTCGTCACGAAAGTCTACATCTGTTGAACGCTAACTTAGTATAAAAACTATTACTAGTAAGACGACACGACAGGGCAAATTAATTGCAGAAAGGCAGGAAAGAAAGCGAAACAGTTTCTGAATCACGTGAACGCGTCCGTAGAAAATTGCGGAAGAGGAGGCACAAAAGCGCGAGGAAGAGCTGGCCAGAGCGGAGGAGACGGCGAGAACCGCGGAAGAAGCGGCCGGAGCTGCCGGTGACAAGGAGACCGTCGAGGGAACCGAAGACGCGGAAGAAAAACAAGAGAGAGAGGAGGAGGAAGGCTTGAAGCTAGTTTTTCCGCCATTGCCTACCCACTCCTGGACACCACCACCGGAAGTGCCAATGGAGAAAGTAGGAAGTGGCGCGAACGCCAAGGTACAAGCTGTTAAAAAAGAATGTTTCAGTTCGGAAACATAAAAAATATATGAAATGCATCCGATAGAAGTTGCACACATAAACATTCGAAATCCATAGAGTTCTTCAGAGTCGCCGATTGTTAGTTTAATTTAACGATACCATGCGTTCAATCGATCGAAGTACACGCGAGGGTAAACACGGACGGGGAGGGAAATCGGGGTCGGTGCAAATTAATATTCAACGGGAAACACGAGGCGTGTTTTCCTGGGCTGGTAGTCGACTTTGTTCCAGGTGTATTTTGTATGCAACGAGCCTGGGTTGGACAAGTGGATCGAACTGCCGCCGGTTACGCCGCAGCAGATAGTAATTGCGCGACAGATTGTCCGCTACTGCACCGGAAATTTGGAAACATCGGTACGCCGGCCCGTAAAAACGAAATTCCATTTTCAAACCGTTCTCACGCCTCCCGCAGTTGCACACGTTCCCGCCGTTTCCCGGGGTCGAAAAAAACTATCTACGCGCGCAGATAGCCAGGATCAGCGCGACTACCCAGGTGTCACCCATCGGCTTTTTCACCCTGGGTGCCGGAGACGAAGAGGAAGAACTGACGGAAGAAGTGGAAGAAGGTAAACGAGGAAAAGATCGACGCAACGAATCGATCGAATTACCGTGTGCTACGTTTACGTAGGCGGGGTATTGTCTGAGAACGCTCACTACGATCCACTGCCGATCAAGAATCTGATAGATCCTTCAATGACGAACTGGTGTCACCACGCGCCGTACCTTTTGAAGCAAGGACGCATCGCCTGGTGGAATCCAAAGGCGGACGAAGAAGTTAGTCGCTATTATTACTAGAGAAGAAAATCTGGCGAACAATTTCGTGGTACACGCGTATGCCATTAGTGGAGGAGATTAAAAGCGAGTTGCGACGCGATTAGAAAGGCGACGAAGAGGAGCTGGAGGAGGAAGAAGAGGAGGAGGAGGAGGAAGGGAGAGCCGTGGAAAAGGAGGTTGGCCCGCCGCTTTTGACGCCGATATCCGAAGACGCCATCGCGGATTCGATAATCCCGTGGACCGGAGTGCAGTCGACTCGCGTTCAGCCCGATCAGGCGGTCGCGTTAATTAGATCGAACGTTTGGCCGGGGGCATTCGCGTTCGCCAGCGGGAGGTGCGTGCACGAGCCCGATATAATGATTTTCCATTAAGCAGGACGTATCTGCGATATTTATGCGGTCGTCCGGCAATAAATTCGCCGCGGAGCGTCGAAGAAAACAGTAGCGAAGGGTCGTCGCGGGTTTTATCGTGGGACGAATCGAGCCGCGGGAATTTCAGGACGCGTTAAAGGCAAATTAATGCCCGGGAAATTACGCTAATGTTACTTTAATGGTGTCGCAGGCGTTTCGCTAACATCTACGTCGGCTGGGGCTACAAGTACAACGCGTACAATTACAGCCCACCGTCCATGCCACCTGTGCAGGACCAGTACAAGGTCGGCCCTGAAATCATGGAGATTCAGGATCCAACCTTCGAACAGGAAGAGGCCTGGAGGATTGCGCATTTGCCGCCACCTCCGGTCATACCGATGGGTAAAATCGATACTATTTAAAACTGTTACGACAGAATAATTGTTTCTCATCGAGGAAGAACATATTGGTTGATTCTTTTAGGAGAAGAAGAAGAAGAAGGGGTCGAAGAAGAAGAGGAGGAGGAGGAAGAAGACGAGTGATTTGATTGTGTTATTGAACAAGTAGTCTTGATACTAACATAAATATCCTTACTGATTACTGTGCACCTCTTGAGAAGACTTTGTATAATTAAACTTTGATGTTAAAATGTTTGAAAAAAGCTACCGTACTCTACAGAATTATTCTTAATCATCAGACGATAAAGTAGTAAGTAGGTTCTTTCAGCTTTCAGCTCTAGGCGTTAGGTCGACATTCCTCAAATCTTCCAACACTCGTTTGGAATTGGAACAAACAACCATTAAATAATACGGTTCCCGCCAAATAATTCGTTGGCATCAATTCGTTTTTGAACCAACGAGACATGTCGGACGAGGCAGCTAAGAACGAATTTATCTTGAGGCCGATGAGCTGCGAATTGAATCAACTGTCCATGCCAGATGGATCGGCAATGTTGATGCACGGTAGGTTATAAATCTGGTTGCTATATACTTTCTCTGTTATTTAAACATTTATGTATTTAAGGTGACACCGCAGTGGTCGCTGGGATTTATGGGCCCATAGAAGCAAAGCCACAGAAAATGATTTACGACAAAGCCTCGGTGGAAGTTTCATACAGCCCAATCAAAGGCCCAGCTAGTAAGTTCGTTTCAAGTTGTCGATCAAACTCAAAATTGAGGACACTGAATTATAGTTTAATTATTCAGAGGTGGATGACAGACTGACAGAGATGTACATAAAGGAGACCTGTGAAGCTGCAATAATCGTCACCTTCCATCCGGCAACGGCCATATGCGTTAACATACAGGAAGAAGAAGATTCCGGTGGCGTACGACTCGTTTCCCATACAACAGGATTACGAAGTCATTTGTTCTTTATAATAATTCCAAACCGATTTTACAGATATTGGCTTGTACGATTAATGCAGCTTGCCTGGCCCTCATCAACGCTGGCATCCCAATGAAATTTACCATTGCAGCCGTCAGCTGCATGATAGAAGAAGACACCGGCGACATCGTGTTGGATCCAGATAGTATTAAATTACAGGTACTTTTATAAATTAATTTTTTATATTGAATGAACATGTAATTTATTTTTAATTCAGAACGCCAGGGCGGAGTTCACCTTCGCGTTCGACAGTATGAAGAAAGATGTCGTATGTTGTCACACCGCCGGCTGTTTCACCGAAACGGAGTTCTTGGAGGCAATGGACAAATGCAAGCAAGCTAGTCAATACGTCTTCGATTTTTATAGAAACCTTGTAAAAAAGTACGCGAACGTCATTTAATACATACAATTTCAAAGCAAAAGCTTCGGCATGTCTTTAATTCCTGCATCCTTCCTCAATTCCTGTTCTCGTACGATCGATATTGTAATTCTCTCGGTATAGTGATTCTCCGCCATTTTTAAATCGCGACAATTCTTGTTTTATTGATAATTTTGTTTTCATTATTTCTCATCATCGGTCGCTGATCTAACAAGAGTGAATTTCATTTCTTTCTAAATTGTTAACGAACATTTTTTATTTATATTAATATCGGGTAAATTTCGTCGAGTCGAGTCGAGAAATTTGTTTGTATAAATTGTTGTTGATTAATTTATGTCGAGTGGCTATCAGAAAGTAAATGAACTTTTAATAGACAGTCTTTAGATATTAACGGCTCTAACGATGCAAACACGTTCCGTCCCACTTTCATGAGATTTATAGCATTCTACTTGGCAAATCACGAAAATAACTATTACCATTATTGCCGCTTCTCTCGAAAATAGATGAAACTGCTCTCTTTCCTTAATCTCAAACCCCGATGCTAATTCGAACGTTAAATACAGAATTTCGGGCTTTCCTCTATTCTGACGCCACTTATTGTTAGAGCGATACACAATTATTACAAAGAACTCTTGCAATAAACGATTAGGATGTGATCCAACTCACGTTAATGAAAAATACTGGAGAATCGCCAGTGTAATGCCTGACGTAATGCTAGCACAATCGCGCGTGTTGTCGATCGTTAAATAAACAAATACGGCATTGAACGTTCGATTTCGTCGATATCGAGCAATACTTCGCTATCCTCTAAGGTGTTACCGTATCGTTTAATCATTGTAACAATTAAATTAAGTAACGTTGATACATCGTATCGTCTCTCCTCACATTTTTCAACTTGAATCAGCAATGTAAAATTTTCCGAAGGTTAAAAGAGACGAGAATTGTGACGCGGCGATCCATAAATAAACGAGAAATTCTTGAGGGAATGAATTCGGTCTCGGATAAGGGTTAAGAAGAGATGAAAGGGCGGACAGTTCAGAAATAGAAACTTATTTATCCGCTGATAAAGGTGGACGCAAGTTTTCGCGAATCCGTGTCACCCAATTTAATGGCATTCCAAAGCCGCGTAAAAAAAAGAAGGTGACAGAGGAGGGAGTGGAAAGGAAAGAGAAGAGAGAGTGCGATGAAAGGGGGTGGGTTGCAACCTTAACACGATTCTATTTCTTTCGATGCATCAGGCCGTGTGCTGAGAGTGACGCAATCGGAACGGTGACCGCGAGACTTATCCTCGGGGAAGACGCGACCGACGTATCTACATGCATACGTGAACACGTCCGTTACCGTCGTGCCTGCACCGCGTCAGAAGAGGACAGAGCGAGGCGGGGTGGCAGAAGCCGAAGAAGAGTTTCGGCGAACGAACAGAACCGTACGAACCTTCATCGTGGCCGCATTAGTCGATCTTCCACCTTGGTGAGCACGTTAAATTGCGCACGAGAAACGGTAACGACACGCGCTTCGAATCGTTCGACAGTTGAAGAAGCGACCGACGAATTTTCATCCGATATAAATCAGAAGGAAGGGAAAATGGTTTACGAGAGCGACTTCTACACGACCCGGCGGCCCTATTCGCGGCCCTACGTCTCGTCCTACAGTGTCACGGTCAGTATAACCATTGGGATTGCCAAAGAGCGGGATGAAAGTATGTCTTAATAATGTTTTGCTGGATAACACTAACGTCGAATCACGAGCGTCCAGTGTGACACGGAGGACACTTTAAGCTACCCCTGCTCGAACCGTAGCCGACGTCTCGCTTGCTTTAACGAGTTCTTCACAGCGATCTCTCGTAGATATTCAAAACGAGATTCTTCGTTCTCGAAGCACGTGCATCGAAAACGGAATCAGTTAAAAATTGCGAGACGTCGGCATCAGAGAATGACACTCGTCGACGAGATCGATCAACGACAGGCACCTAGCGAATAGTCGTTGCCGTCGATCGAGTTTCGAAGTCTCTACTTCCACACTTGTTACTCCGACTATTGGTCGTTATCACGTGTATTATTCTCACTGTTGTCGCGTTAACAGTTCTCCCGAATAAGAGTCGTGCACTCGGTGTCTCCCAGACGTAAGAAACTTTGATCACTCCCGGTACTGTTTACCCATACTCAATGTTAACGTGCACACTTAACAGCACGGATGATATCGGTATGCAGCAAGTATCAATTAGACCAGTTGAACGTACATGTAACAGCACGGTAATAACATCCAGTTTACGGAATTAATTTGTACCTGCACCAAACAAACTCTGACACGAGTTATCCGTCCAATTAAACGGACGGAAGGAGTACCTGTTGAATGATTTGTTTTCGAGAACACCCTTGCTCTGTGTTCGTTTTGTATGTACGTGTCGAGCCCTCAAACAACCGCAGGGTTTCGTCAATTATATGTTTTATGTACCATTCGAACGTGTAAATTCAGTTCAGACGCGAGAGGTGTGTCTCTCGGAGTTTCACCTGAATCACGAATGGTCGTTCGTGTGTATCGAGAAATGTCGAGCGTCGATTCGAGGGCGAAGAAATCAGAGAAAAGCCTATTCATAGCAGCAGTGGAGCCATTTTCCGGACTCCGTCGCGTTAAACTTAAATAGCCGTATGACCCGGCAAATTTTGGATCCGTGAACAGGAAAACGTATTTGGCGCAACAAACGTCTATATGTATAGGAGAAGATTACCGAATGCGTGTGTCCACGAACGTGACCCGCCGCCTCGTCGGAGGCGCGTCGAATAATTTACGTACGAGGATCGAAGAAGATTTTCGTTTTGGCAGCTCGAATCGAACCGTGCCATTGTTGATCGTGGATCAATGGTACGGGCGACCTGAATACCCGCGCTCCTCAGTGATCCTAACTATGTTCGAACGATCTTCGGCGAGGTCTCTAACTCGGAGCACCTCGAACGCGATCCCCAATGACAGAGGTTGATGAATCTACGCGCCACGAGGAAACGGTCTCGGGGATGTTATTAAGATACTTCCTTCGTCTTTCTTCGTTTCGGTAGAGAGGGGATCCTCAGTGAGCATCGGTGTTGCGTTACTCTGCCCTAATTTAGACTCACGGCGTACCCACCGACGGTCTCCCACCACGGCCCGCTAAAATTCGTCACGGAAATTCATACGCGCTTTCTGGCCGACATGTTCACCAATACCGAGAGCTCGTCACAGCTGTTCCCGTTTGTTTGATCCACGAAAAATCGGTAACATTGTTATCTATTTTCGAAACGGAATCGTTCTTCCACTAAAATCCAAGATAGAATTGGCCGAGCACGATCGAACGGACTGTGCGCATCCAGAATCGTTCCGAAGAGAATGCGACGATTTATTATAAATAAGACACTGCTCGCTCGAGATGATTCACGAGAATAAAATCGTTGCGCGAAATAATTCCCTTTGGAACGTTATCAAACGAGGGAACGCGCGTGGGCGAGTTTACTGAGCGCGAGGGTGTTGCGTTCCATCTGCGCCATTCACATCTCGGTCTAATTTTGCGCGTGGATGAGAAACACGACTGAGAAGTAAGCTCGCGTGAAGGAACGTTGCAAGAGGAAGAAGATAACGTTCGTGGTAATGTAACGGTACGCGCGTTTAGCTCCGATCGCGCGTCAGTCAGAAAAATCCTAGCGAGAAAATGGGGAAGACATGTGTGGAAGTGAAGACGTCGAAGGGGGAACGCGGCCGAGCGGACGGAGGATTAAACGCGTCGCGAAACGTGAATTTACAGAAGCAGGACTACTTCCCGTGGGATAAAGTGCCGTTCGTACCTCGGCCGTCGCTGGTCCCGGACCCGTTCACCGTTTGGGGTCGCAAGAAACAGGATCCGAAGAAGGAATTCTATCAGTACGTCACCCTGAAGGACAAGGAGGGTACCGTGCGCGGCAAGAATCCCGCGAAAGATGAACACGCTCGACAGCTGGTCGACGGCGGGGCCGTGTCGAAGGTCAGGCTGGACGCCGCGGCTGAATTAGCGACCAAGGGCCACGTCTTCGAGAAAGGGATATTATCGAGACCGAGCACTACGACGAGGAAACACCTCGTCCCTACTTACAGCGGGCACACGAAGATACTGATGGCACTCGAGAGACCGTCATGGTACCGATTTTAACAAATTGGAGAACGATACGACTGACCACGAATATTTTGATACCTTGCTCGATTACCGCGTACCGAATTATTAGATAGTTTTACATATATCTTTTTACTTGAATAAAACGATACTCGAGGCCAGCAGCATGACACGAATAGTCTACGATCGATCATAGGGACTACGAGTAGTCTTTTACACCGTTTTTAAGTTGTGTGCACGTTCAACGAATAAAGTTCTACCGATTTCGAGAAGGCGTATTTACTGGATCCGTTCCCAAACACGTTGCGCGAACGACCCGACCGGCGCGTGCTATAATAATCTACGCGTAACGTCAAACGAAACGCCGGTCAGGTATATCTGTAGTCCGATATCGTCGGACGCGTAGGAATCGGTTTAAGATCGAGAGTCTTTGAGTAACGAGACACCGAGATGCACCCGTGGCACATGAGTACCGAGGTAACACAACGTACACACTGTCGCGTTACGTTGTCCATGTGTTTCTTGGCAAGGGCGAATTCAGTTGCTCAACCGTGGCACTCTACAGTGTCCTGAATATCTCGGCAAGGAGACATTATTAATGCATACGTGTACCGCTCTCTACGTTTATAATTGGCCCGCACGTTGTGTGTCTACAGATAGATCGATACGTTACCGCGAGACGTATATCTCAGCGATATCCCATTACTATGTTCTACTTCCGCATTCTAACGTGTAGATAAAACCACTGACCGTCGTAGTCTCTTGTTAACCCTTTACCTAACCCGATTCCCCCTGCGACGCTTCGTCTGGGTTCTTAACACTGTCGTCACTACGATCGAGATCCTCGATGAACCATCATATATCGACTAGGAACGGTGAGAGGCGAGACGAATCCGTCGAAAGTGTTGGATTTTTTTCACCCCTACCATCCCGTTTCCCAGTATGTTATTCCAAAACGGAGAACAGAGCCAACAACACCGATACCACCAATTATTTTCAAATAAAAATTAGTTAAATTATTGCAAATTGATCGTTGAACGTAACGTCGTATAAATGATCGTACGGGCGAAGCAGGAGAGGGTCGCCATTAAGAAACTGAGTTCTGTTCTCCGGAAGAGGCCTGTTCTCCAGATTGTTGACCTTGTGTAACCCGAATCTATAGACGCCTCGGCATTACGTGGTCCGCGACTATCCGGACGTCGGGCTGAGGTCTGCTCAAGAGCAGTACAGCTATGCCTACACCAACACCAGCTCGTCGAGCTCCTCTACGGACCCGTACAGCCGTCGTCCGCAGAAGACTAGCTTCACCGAGGAGAACGTCGTCAAGAGGGAGACCGGACCGTACGGATCGTACACGACCGAGAGGTCGTCCAGGACATCGACCGGCGGCGGTCCCGGAAGCTATCGCTCCTCTTACGAGTCCCACGCTTCCGGCCGTTTGCCCGGCGGTACCACTTACCGCCATTTCTCTTACCGCGTCTAAATTCACCGACCCATGAACCGTTTCACCGACATCGGACGTCTCTCTCTCTCGATCTCTTTTGGCTAACGTCCCTCCGATCCTGATTTCGACCCTTCGTTACTTGTAGACTACCGATCGATTCAAAAGGTTCGATCTAGACATTTCTTAATGTCACGTTCGTTCCTTTTTACACAAACGCATAAAAATCTGCAGTCGTTCGAACCTCTGTGACTTAATAGGACCTGAACGTTTGTAAAGAATCGTAGCACTTTGAATTACGACGATCGTTTGGCCAGATAAACGAAGATTCGGTGAAACGAGAAAGATCGTTCGGCCTGATCATTTATGACTATGACACGTTGCTAACTAATGTTTGTAATGCCTGTTTATTACGGAAAGTGAATTTATAGTTGCATTTAGATGTTTTCAAATTGTTACACTTATTTACCCCGATCAACTATGTATCCCAGTGTCTCTGTAAACCTCGAATTCGAACACGCGTGAATTGTACAAAATTTCTGTCCACTCATGGACTATATGTGTGTGGGGAGTGTTTCTCTTTTGCTTATATTCGCGCAAGCATAGTTTCTAGCGTGTACAACGATGGTGTGAATCAAACCAAGAAAAACTAAACGCATCGCGAAGAAAGTTCGAAATCGAAGCGTAATTCCGTTGTATCGAATTTTTACTGTTACACGAAAAGAAAACGAAATACAGATTCGATTATGATGCGAGCGTTCAACCCTGTGTTCGTACATTACCCCCCCTGATCGATAGACGATAAATGTAATGCGTATCGATTGTAACTAACCGTGACTAACATTCTAAAACTCATCTCGATAGACACACAACGGGACAATTGGCCAAATTACTGAACGAATGGATTCGAGACGTTTCGCCGCTACTTATCGCTTCACGACTCCTTTATCGAGAGATCTAAGTCGACGAGAAACCATTGATACGCGCGCGAGGGAGACAGATAAAACGAAATAAAAGTAATATCAGAGACACGTGAAAGAAAGAACGGTGTACGAACATTATTAACCGGGTTTTGTTCTTCTTCTTTCTATTTTATTCTGCTTCCCACGTCCTCCGCCGCCGCCGGATATCGTCGAAATATCGTTAAACGAAACACACGTAAAAATCCGACCGATTTCTGTAAATACGACCGAAACGGGGCTACAGTGGGATCGACCGATCACTTTACCGATCTCCACGATTCTTCAGGTAAGTATCACAGGTGTTCACGCTACGCTGCGAAAGACTCCCACTTCACTCAAAGTTGCTTCATGCTACGACGCTTACTGGCTTAATATTCATTAAAAATCGCCTGCTTCGATTAACAAATTCATTCGTCGCATTTTTATAACGATCATATAAAAGGGCATCACAGACACGAATCGAAATAAAATCACCCGTCGACGCTTAATACCTCCACCGATCACCCGCTGCTAGATCGCTGCACCGCCTTTAATCGATCCCCCGCTGGACACGACGAGAAATGCTTTGAAAAGACACGGCTGCGAAGACACGCTTGAGAACGAGCTTTCTTTGAAAACGAGCTAAATCGCCGCTGGGAAGTTGGGAATTAGACGAGATCGAAATTGGTAAAGCCTGGTTCGTGCCTCTAGATTAGAAGCATGCCTCGCATGCCGTACGTGGCTCACAAACGGCTCGTGACTGTAATCCACACGCCGTACCATAGCGTGTACCACGGCGGCAGCCTGATACCGATAAGAATTCACGCGCGCGTGCGTCCGAGCGTCCTCGCCGCCGAGATCAACAGGCTACAGTACCTGATGAGGCCCTCGACCGAGTCCTACACGGGAAAGTACCTCCGATCCAAGGATTACATCGTAAGTCCCCCCAATCGTGACTGTATACGACCGTCATCGACGTCAAACGTCCGATCATCATGTCATCGACACGACGACGTTCGACGATCATTCCTCGCCTTTCATCGTCTTCGACATCTCCGGCATCTCTCAGCGGAATCATTTACAGACACGTTATTGTCGATATCATGTAATTTATGATTGAAATAAATAATATCAGAACTGTCTACGAGACTCACGGTCACACAGCGTTCGAATTTCGCGTTTCTAGGACCACATTCGGGGCATGCTTAACGCGAGATTCGGTTCACCGTTAGGACTAACCGAATAACAGACCGATGATAGTCGAACGCTAATTACTCTCGATTGTCTCGTTGGACCTCTACTTTAAGTTTGTCTATTCGCAGTATTTCGACGACGAGGCGAAGGAAATACGCGCGAGGGTGGATTCTCTTCTTCGCCGTGTTCACGTGTTCATTCCACGAGCCGCAGCAAGGTATAACGATCAAGCGTCGGCAAACGGGACGATAAAAGACCATAGAGATATTACAGATAGTGTAGGGAAGGTTGCCTGAAAATCGTATCCTGAATAGAAAGAGAGAGACAATGAGAGACTTCTCTTTATCTCTTTCTACTAGCGCATGATAGAAACAAATAGAAAGAGGTCTTCCATTTTCTTTCTCTACCTAATGAGTATACGGTACCACTTACACAAGAGCCTATGTCTTCCCTACTCTATCTGTAATACCTCTATGTAAAAGATTGTACGGTACCGTGCACATTCTCGTTCACAACTCTTAGGACTTGAGGTGTACAAATCTATGGGACGTTCTAATTTCTGCCTCGACGAATCTCAGTTTTAAATTTGAAACCATTACAAAGTTCATCGTGGACAGAATCCCGGTTTACTTTGGTTCCTCTTGTTTTGGCCGACAAATACATATACAGTCAATTCGAAAAGTTCATGTACCTTACAAAAACGCATTGCCGGTAATTAAAAATAGTGCATTTATCTTCTAATTTCGATATTTAATGAGTTACATATGATTATATGGCATTTTATTGATGTTGACAAAATCCGACCATTCCACCGTCGAAACGGC